GCACAGCCTGAAAGATCAGCACCAACTTCTCGACGTAAATTTGGTTTTTCTAATTTACTGTTAAAACTGTTTGCCAGCTATCTTCAAGGTAGATCATTACAAGTTATCTTTGGTCATTTCAAATCTGAAGAGTTTTTCAGTAACATAGGGGTGCCCCAGGGGAGCAACTTAGGTCCCTTGCTTTTCCTGTTAATGATTAATGATTTGCCTGATAGAGTTAAACATTCGAAAATTTTGTTGTTTGTGGACGATGTTAAACTCTACGAATCTTTCCGACTGGCGACTTGGACGGTCAACCGTTGGAATTCGGCGATTTACCCCGAATCTCCACCGCGGCGGTGCATGTTCGGGGATCGAGCACCTCAACGTTTTCATGTAAACAACTAAGATGGCGGCGCATATTGCGCGGGTGTTTTGAATTTATGGATCGCGGGCAAGATCCACACTTTAAGCGGACTTGAAGCAACCACGTACTTAATTAAAATTTACATTTAAATATTTTTATCAAGTTAATATTAATTCCTGATAGTCGAATGAAGGAAGTTTTCTCCCGTTAAGACACAAGCTGCAATGTCGCCGTTTATCAATGCATTCTAGGAGAAAAAAAGTAGCAGCCAGAAGAATGAGTCTTGAGCGACCATCCTCAGCATTCATTCCTTCTTTTCAGAGATTTTTTGTCATCACTTATCAGGGATGTAAAATGAAATCTAACATGATATGAAAGTACACAGATTTCTTAGGAGGAGTGTACACCACCCATAAAATTATTTTATAATAAAATTAAGAGTTTGACTCTTATTTTGTTAAATATTGAGATTTTCTGATTATACGCATTTCACGGCCTACTGAGCCTACTGCAGAAGTTATACTTTCATGAAATTTTACCTTATATGAAATTGCATGCAATTTTGCATCTCTGCTCATTATGGAATCCATTCAGCAGGCTATCAAGACTGAGGCTGCTTTAAAAATGTAAATGGTGCTAGCAAGAAAGGGGTTGGGCCTCTGGGAGGAACATATTTTTTCAAATTAAAATTTATCATGAGGGTGAAAATTCTCACACATCAGGCAAGTAGGGATTGTCCCCTCCCCCTTATTCAGAGAGAGTACTAACATTTTTCTGGGACAATTTTGGTCAATTTCACTGTGAAGTGTGTCAGCAGCGCCCAACTCCTTCCCCGCAGGCACAAGACCTCTCCAGTTAGATTTCCCGGGTCCAGCTGAAATGGCACAGCTACATTTAATCATTCAATCTAATCTTTCAAATCTACGTTAAGTCGTACGTTTATGGTAGACTTCAGATTTCGATACTTGTCTGTTACGCATTTGCAAACATTTGTTTTTTTTGTAACTGTCTTCAAAACACCAGCGTCATTGTCCGGTGGATTTTCCATCAGAGTCTACACACTTAGACTCATCACTGACCAATTTCTCTGGAATATCTAGCATGAATGGTTAAAATGTAGATTTCACTTTGCAGATAAAGTAGCTGAGGGCCCGAAAAAAAATTTTCACTTATATTGACTTCTTTAAAGACCTTTCTGACCTTAAAAGAAGCATGTGGACTTTAGGTCTGGCTGTGTTATAAGAGGCTGCACAACAGAATCAAATTATTCTCTTGAGATAAATTCCTTACCTCTGAACTAGAAAAGCCATTGATTCAGCTTTGTTCTGACCCCAACACAAATAAAACAATCAGCCCAACAGGCAGCAAGCGTCAAGAGATATTTATGCATTTATCCTCTCAGTTATTTGCACTTGGTCTGGAAAATACTGAAATAATGGTTTATACTGCTGAGAGCAATGGAATTTGTTGGATGTTCAACGTCTTTCGCAAATATTGACACATTACGGCAAGAGGCTGGTGTTACCTTTGATGCATCAACGAAGAGGTATCACAAACAACTTCGAAGTTAAAAGTTACAAAATCAAGCAGCGCTACTACATTTAAATTTGAGAATACTAGATATTCATACCAATTAGGTAATCAGAGACGTTTGGAGACTTTTATACGTAAATTCCGGTGGGAAACCCACTCCATGAAGACATTGGTACAATGTACAAGTGGAGTGAAACAGTTGCAAAAAGTAAACAAATACTTACGTTCGCGTAACGGTGAGCTTAGCTTATTGAGGCTAAAATGGAACGACTGAAACGATAAAATTAATTTTGAATTATTATACTATAATCGATCAGCACACGATGCTTGGGCATGCGATCGGTAGGCTTGGTTTCGTAAACAAATATGGCGGCGGTCCGTCACAACGTTGAGAGTGCCGAACCCCCGAAAACGCACCGCCGCGGTGGAGATTCGGGGTAAATCGCCGAATTCCAACGGTTGACCGTCCAAGTCGCCAGTCGGCAAAACCCTAAACTCTACAATTCAATAGCAAATGAAGATGATATGGCGTGCTTGCAGGAGGACCTGGTCAATATCTCGGAATGGTGCAGTGATAATGATATGGATCTAAATGCCGGCAAATGCAAATATATTATTTTCACCAGAAAAACAGACTTTTCTGTATTCAATTACATAGGGTGTCCCAAAAGTACTGCCCCTTTTTCCGCAGAGGGCGAAAGAATGCAGATATCAAAATGCGGTTTGTGTGAGGTTATAGTCCTAGTAATTACCTATAAAACAAAACCAAGTTGAGCTCTGTAGCTTAAAATTTGACCGAGATACAGCATTTTGAAAATGACGTGTCAAGGTGCCGCCTACAGGATTTTCAACATTTTTTACGAAAGAAAAAACCAAGTTTAAGAATGAAACGGTTTTAAAAAGAAAAAGAAGTGGCCAGAAACATATGGCAACACTGTGTTTTAGGCGGCATTTGGCAACGTGTAAGCGCCCCTATGCAGACCAACGACAGAATTAAACGTGTCCGCTAGTGCCATCCAAGTTGGTCAAGCTTTCCCGTCACGTCAGTCAAGAGTTCATCCCTCTGTCGTTTTGGAAGTTTCTTTCGCGATGAGTACCGAATTATGAAAAGAACAACACCACGTTATTCGTTATTGTTTTCGTCGAGGAATGTCAGTAAAAGACACTTTTAATGAAATAACAGGCGTGTATAAAGACGACTGTTTGGACAGAAGTAGCATTGGTCGCTGGTTTAAATCTTTTTCTGGCGGCCGCGAATCGGCGGAAAGTCTCGCGAAACCGGGCCGACGCGACCGTCTACCTCCACCACAGACGAATTAATCGGCACCGTTGCTGCTGTTGTTCGAGGAGACCGTCATTTATCCTTGCGTAAGCTTCAGGTGTTGCTTGACATCTCAAAAAGTTCATTGCACCGGATCTTAAAAGACCACCTGCAGATGCGTCGTGTCTGTTCGCCCTGGGGTTCGTCCGTAAAAAATGTTGAAAATCCTGTAGGCGGCACCTTGACACGTCATTTTCAAAATGCTGTATCTCGGTCAAATTTTAAGCTACAGAGCTCAACTTGGTCTTGTTTTATAGGTAATTACTAGGACTATAACCTCACACAAACCGCATTTTGATATCTGCTTTCTTTCGCCCTCTGGGAAAAAAGGGGCAGTACTTTTGGGACACCCTACGTATAATATTAATGGCATTGAGTTAGAACGAGTTAACGTGATGAGAGATTTGGGTGTGCTTTTAGACAGTGAGCTTTCATTTAAGTACCACATTGACAACCTTGTGAATGCAGGAAACAAATTATTGGGTTTTGTAATAAGAAATACTAGATATTTCACGGACATAGCAATATCACTATTACTGTTTAATTCATTAGTGCGCAGTAAGTTGGAGTATGCATCAGAGATATGGAATCCGTCATATACTACATGCGATAACAGCATCGAAAGGATACAAAATAAATTCCTTCGGTATTTATATTTTAAAAAGCACCATGTTAAGTTCCCCCTCGGAGGGCATGTTCGGGATCTGAGGTCCCGTTCTCGGTCTCTAAACTCCAAACTAGAAGGAAATTAGCGGATTTAGTGTTCCTCTATAAGATTGTAAATAGCTTAATAAGTAGCTCTCTAATTTTAGAGAATGTAAAGCTGGTTGTACCGCGATCTGGTCTTCGACCTACATCTAAGTTATTTTATGTCCCGAGAGTGAGGACAGCACATCGCCAGCAAGCCTTCTTAATTAGGGCTTGCGCTCTGGCTAATGAACTTGACGGTTTGGACTTTTTTGCAGTTTCGGTTGGAGCTTTTGCCAGTGACTGTCTCGGGCGGCTCACTCTTGATTGACTCACTCTATCTTGTTCAACTTGTTAACTATTTCTTGTTTAACTTTTTCTTTTCACACTCATGTTAGCATTTTCCTTTCTTTCTCTTTTGTAATGTTATCTAGTCTAAGTTATGATTATTTTATGTTACTTATCTTTTGGTTATTGGGTTCCAGACCCACATATTAGATATTGGATTTTCTTTTTGTGTTAATAAGATATGTTTTGGGGCCCCTGTGGCCCTGTATATCTTTGTATAAGTTGTTTTGAAATAAAGAAATACATTGCGTCGAGAGAAAACTGAAGGAGTTTCAAAGCATGATCAATTTGGTCCTGCCATGTGTGGTGGCTCTTGTTATTCTGGATAGAGGGAGAAAGGAAAAAACCCCGCTGTGGAATATCAGTCCTTCTCCTTCCTTGAAATTTTACACTAGGTTTTAAGTAATGACCAGACTGGGATCACTACCCTTTCCATTTTTGGAGGGATAAATTGCAGACGCGACTCATACGCTGGCTTACTAAATCTCTGCTTGCATGCAACAACCTTTCACAGTCTACTTGACCTTTGACTTGCTTACGAGAGACAGCGATGCGACTAGTGCCAGATAAGTTGCGGCTTAAGTCGTGTTAAGTGCAGTTGCTGCTTGTGCCAATAATTTTCGTAGAAACAACCAATACGAAAAGCCGCTTGAGTCGAATTTTTCCTAGGTCCTTTTCGACTGAGCAAGCTTTTACGTAGTTTGAAAAATGGTTATCAGAAATAATCACAACACTAACATGCAATGTTTGCTTGGTGCTTTACAGAACTTTCGATCGATCAACAAATCTTTTGAGCTAGATTTGCCCGCATCTCTGGGTACAAGAGGTCGACTTGTCTCCTGCAAGACAATCAACAAAACTACTATTTTGCCGAGAATCAGTTTCTTACCTCAGGCTGACAGTAAGTGATCATACCTTTCATCAACTGTACATAGCAAATGAATACAAACAAAGAAAGTTTGGTAAGAATGAGGATGTATAACTTGAACCCTTGTTAATCATTAATTATCTTATTTGATTCCTAAACAGGGCTGGAATAGCACTGAGGGGCCTGGGATGCTGGTCACTTGTAGCCCCAAATTGTAAAATTTATGGGCCTCATATCACCGAAAACTCCAGGCGTAGAGCCTCCATCAATGTCTTCTTTAGACGCCAATGGCCACCAGATCCCCTAGAGGATCTGGTATCTACTGAAAAATACCTAAAACCTGGGCACAGTTTGTCTCAGAGGGAGGTAAATGAAATTGTGTTACCCACTCAAAATTCCTTCGGGATCTTGAAGTAAGATGCATACAGTCATTTAAGTCTAAAATGGAATTATTCTGTCGAGCTCTTCAAAAATAAAATCGATTTTTGTGTTTTTGGCACCAGAATGGCCTTTAAAGACAATCGAAAATTCAATTCCGAAGGTGTGTGCATATGTTAAATGATGTACGCATGATGAATAATTTTTCTGATTTTCGATTCGACCTCGAACGTTGAAACCTCGAATATTCGAATTATTCGACCACAATGACAAAACTTCGAATATCTAAAAAAAGACCGAATATTCGTGCATTCGGCCATATTTATGACGTATTAGTAAGAACTCGATCTGGTGCGCAATTCAAACTACTCGTTTTGAGGTTAGATAAACCAAGGCCAACGTTTCATTGGTTCATCCAGCGCACCGCATTCGCACTAGACGGGTCAATTCAAAATTCGCACCACTTGAGTTCCACCTACTACGTCATCAACATTGGCGTACAAATGGGCGAATGTACTAACCTCCATCACCTATCCTCCTCTGCTCCATGCAGCACCATGGTCTTTACAGTGTTGCTAGACTGTCTTTGCAAGATCAGAATTGGTATGAAGTAAAACTGAATAAAGTGGATTTTCGGACAGTAAGCAGCAGTTTTACAGTTCCACGACAGTTCAATCAGTTGCTCGTCTTTAATTGAAGGAAACAATTTTCTCTCCCTCCTTTTCTTTCCGCAGCAAATCAAAATTTATGCAAAACCAGACTTTGATGTAAACAAACACTCAGTACATGAATGACACAGAGGTTCCCTCTGGCATACTGGTCCTCATTTAAAACAGAGAACTGAGATAAAATATTCATTAACAGGGTGGAGATCATCCCCTCACATAAGCAGCAAGAAAGAGGGGCGGCGATTTAAATAAAGCTTTCCATTCCGATTTAGGTAGGTATATCCTCTCACTTACTGGGGCTGATGCGATCAGGCAAGATAAACATCTGATTGGATAAAAAGATAATTGTTAAAGTAATGATAATTGACATGTAAGTAAGAGGATCTCAATCAATCTGCTAGGGTTACCATAATTCTGGAGGCCGATTATTGAAAGCTTAAAGCAGCCCGATACGACATCGAATTGCGATACATTGCAAGGATAAGATATGTCTTATCTTATCCTTGCAATGTATCGCAATTCGATGTCGTATCGGGCTGCTTTAAGCTTTCAATAATCGGCCTCCAGAATTATGGTAACCGTAGCAGATTGATTGAAAAGATATTGTAAAACTATATTTACAGTATTTTCGTGGAATTATTTTCTTGAAAATATTTTCCAAACAACGGCATTATTTTTAAAATATTTTAAAAATATTTTGTTCTAACTGGGACAGTATTTGTCATGAATGTTTCATGACACCTTTAGGAGAGAACGGTGGTTCCTGAGTGATGATTAGGACTCAAGGGTACGTAGGTTTCGTTGAAACGCATGATTCTTATTTGTATCTGTTGAGGCATGGATTTTTGGCCTGCTGAGGAGTTGAGTAAATTAGAAACCATCACTCATAAGCTGATAAAGTTAGGAGGAAACACGATCAAACTGTGGAACTTCTGATACTTTGAGAATGTAAACAAAGACTCAACTTCAGAAAACTTTCACAATAATATTATGAACTCAATTTCCAAAAAGTCTCTGTGGTTCATGAATTTTTTAATCAAAAATATAGGTTCTCCAACCGGATGAGAGATGGCCGTAGTGATCATTTCACGAAATGAGTTTTCTACTTTAAACTATCTTATCTCCAATTTCTGCCAAGGAAACTTTTCCTGTTATTAGTAAGGAATATTTTTTTAGGAACTCAATGGGAAAAGACAAGGACGTCCATTCCTCTATTTTGTACCTTTCCTTACCTACCTGTAAAACTTAACTCTGTCTTAAAACTGTCAACTTAAATCTATCAGATTTTCTTATCCACTCGCAAGACCAAAATCTGTATCTTGGGTCACGGATTTTTGAATCGACCAAGTGGTATCTTCAATCTAGTGTCACCGGTAGGGATACCGAACTGAAGCGAGGTGTCAAAAGTTACAGAATCAGGTTGCAGAAATGAAAACTTCCTAATATACATGAAACTTGCAATCTTAATAGCTATTCCCTCTAAGCCATTTTACCTATTCATGGAATCAACTAAACGTAGGTCCCCGTTTATTAGACGACACGACACATGAAAGGATGCCAGATAAAAGCCGTATCTATTGTTATTGTAAGTCATTAAATCAGTTTGTAGGTATGAAAACTTCCTCACATAGGTGATGTAACTTTCAACCTCATCTCCTACATCGTCTGGTTAAATATTTATTATCATCTTACGGTAAGTAATGGAGAAACCTTGTTTTATCGTCTCAAAGCGAGTCATCAAGGAAGGTTATTTACCTTCTTTACTGAAAAGCACCCAACAGGTCAGTTGAAATGTGGCTCCTATTGAGCGTTCAAATGGCAATAGTTAAGTCTGCAGAGATAGTACATAAGGTGTCACGCAATGAATCTTACAATCTGACGGAACCAAATTCACCAGAGAGTGAATGAGTAAATCTATGGTGTAAGTCGGCAATCACATAACTCGTTTGCAGTGTCTGTAAATCTCCGCCTCCATGATATGTTTTGAAGGAGAACAAATTGACATCATTCCTTGAAGTTTTTGTAGAATTTTCTTGGCACAGAGAAGAAAAATCACGGCAGCTTTAAAGAATTGGGGTTGAGGAGTTTTCCGTTGAAAAAATAAAGTAGGACAGGAAGTCTGCGACGTCACAGACCGAGTTATGTGATTGCCGACTTACACGGTCAAAATGAGTGATCAAACCTAGAATTTTTAATACAAATAAGAGGCTAGCACATACCTTTGTTATGGAGCAATGTAAGAGGTTATTTGGTTGTAGTAGTTTCAGAGTAGAATGTTATAGGGAATATTTATGAAATTGTTGGTGCTGCAAAAAATCTTTGACTTTGAAAGTACATAATTTTTGGCAACTTCGGATATCTTAGATTTTTAGACACCTAGTTAAATTCAATGTTCATAAGTTTTGCAGTAACAAAGATGTTATGAAGACATCAGATATTCCATGATCAGCGATACACTTAAGCGGTCCTTTTCATAATTTGCAGCGATGAGGTGGTGACTATCAAAAAGGTACAAATGGCTGCGCTTGAAACTTTCCAAAATGATCCTGCCATTATTTTATGCTGTTTGGCATGAGAATGCAAACTGTGTTGTAATTGGTGCTTGGGCACAACTTGGGTTAACTTGTACATTCAGGGTTATGCATGTATCGCAAATGGCAGAACTCTTACCTGACATACATTAACATAAAAACACTAACACAGTCTCGGAAGTAGCATGATAAATGATACTTCACAAACTTCACGAGGTGTGAAGATCGGAAGGGCAAAACGAGTCTGAAGACACATCACATACGTTGAATAATTCCACAATATTATACTTCAGATTTCAGAAACTTTCACACTCTTAAATTTCACAACACAAACTTTACGAGGCGGACGGCTTTTGGACGAACGATGAAAATTTAACTAGATGAAAACAAAGGAGTAAGCGAGAAGCAAATACAGGAGAGTAGTGTCATCTGAATCGTAGCTGTAAGGAGCATTGCTTACATTAGGCCAGAGGGCCAGAGAGGGTCAAAAGGATGGCAATACTCTCCAGCACCTAGGTCAAAGACACATAACTTAGATGTAGGCGAATTCTACTAAGCTCCGAATAAGGTTATCACCGGTGGTAAAGTTTTTCGGAGAAAAAAATGCGAATCCTGGACTTTCAGAGAATATTGTGAAATAACCATAAACTACACAGCGAAGAGAGTTTTAGGACTGTTATTTATATTATTTGATACCATATATTATATACCATTTGACCGCTGGAGCGCTCTACTATACTAAGCTCTAGTGGCTAGTCGAAAGCAATAAGCGCTGCCTATCAGCTGAGCGCTTTATATTCATTTTGATTTGGTTCAAATTTGAAACTTTTTCAAAATATTCGATTCAACATCACAAAAACCATATTTGCACAGCCCTATCAAGAAGCCTTGCTATTCCGTGTGGAAAGAAGAGGTGATATCAATTTCAATCATCTGCAATTGGAAATGTTTCTTTTCCTTCGTCGATTATAAAAAAGTGCACTCACTTGATTCAGAAATGTGTTTTATTTTCGTCAGGCTCAGATGATGAAGGGCTCAGTCTGGACCTTTTCATGATGGTATTTGAGTCATGGTCGACGACAGCAGCTAACAAAACAAACCATATGGTTTTGTTTGACTTAAACCAGTGGTATAAGGCTCAGTTTCCTAAGGGCGGGCGGCCTGATCTTGCTTATTCTTATATGACCATCAATGAACTGAAGACTGAAGCAGACAGCAAATTGATAGCTGTTTGTATTGATCAGAGCACTGTTGAACTATTTGCGCAGTTGGTTAATGTGGAACAGTTCTTCTTTCCCTCTGCACTCAGTTTTGGTGAGTTCTTTTCATGAGATACCTTAATCCCTTCAAATGCACCAAAAAATATCCTGTGTTAGAAATATTGCTTTAATCAAATTTTTGACTGTCCCTGAGGAAAGGGAATATTGACCATAGATCAATTTGAACGGTGATCCACTTTTCAGTGACTCTTAAATTCCACTTGAATGCCTTCATGGCAAAGTTCAGCAAAACATGAATGTGCTCAGCTTTAAGATTAACTAATCTAAATAAAGCATACTTGAAGCGTGCAGCCCCTTTGATATGATAACATTATCACTTTATGAATAATGTGAATTCAAGTTTTATCAAGAGGGCACATAGGTTTAAAATTAACTCGCTGTTCTTGCCGATCCAGTAACTTGAAATTTTTTGGTGAAGCATACCTATATCACTTATATCAGTAAGTTTTTCTGTATGTTTGCGAAATTCGTTCCTCAACTTGCCTTTTAAAGTAATATTTTGGAAAATTTTAGACCCCAATGGTAACGGTTGAAATTCGAGTTTGGAGAGAGCCAACTGCTGGCGATTCGTTTTAAAATTTTTAGAATTGCATCCTTTACAATTGTCATCAGAACATGATTTGAATTTTAGCCTAGAGGTTTAGTCTTGTTTACTTTTTTGTATAAGGAAAAAAAAAAAAAAAAAAAAAAATTAAACCAAGTCTCATACATTTTGAAAATCTCCCCAACAAGCTAGAGAATATCATTTGATCCAAAAAAAAGAAAAAATGATCGGTTTTAAAAATTGGGAGAAAAAACCCTGAGAGTTTTCACTGAATGCTCAGCCCATGACTTCAGTTGTCTTTGTGTGATTCCTAAAACCGAAGAGCATCAATCATGAGATTAATCTGCTTCTTGTATTCATACTTCAACCGTATTTCTCCTCTTGGATGCCAAATTCCTACACACTCCTTCACAAAAATAATACCCAAGATTGTCAGATCTTTTTTTTAAAATAATCTGAATTCGTTGAAATGATTGATTAGATTTCAAATATTGCTTCAATGGGATAACTAATTGGACCTTATTTTCCAATAAGGAACTACTAATTCTGGCTCATCCATAAAAGTAAATATCCGCTAAATACCTGCACTTAGGTTGCTTCCAAAATGAGCTAGAAATAGTTTCTAATTGCAAAGAGGGGTCCCATTGTCGATTTAGCAAACATGTCATCAGAAGTATTATAATTTATTGATGCAATCATTGAACTGCCCAATAATGATTCCATGAAAGGACCAAACTGCTACAACGGCATACTAGTTGGGAAGTTATTATTTAATGGAGATGTTGCATGTGTGCGGGATTTGCGATTTGACCATTGATTCTTATGTAAAAGTTCGCGAGAAACATGATAGTGCCACTGGTTATCTCTGAAATCATCTCCCAAGCTCAATAAAAGCTCTCAAAGTGAGGCCAAAATGGAGGGGATATCCCACCCTACCCTGAGAGTCCACCTCTATATCAAAACAAACTCTCCATGCAAAGATAGGGAGCAAGTACATTAGCAGGGTCGCCACTTTATTCGGGGACTCCCAGAAGGACTCCAAAATTGAAAACACGGCAACCCTGCTAATGTATTTGCTCCCTATCTTTGCATGGAGATTTTTTTTTGATGTAGAGGTGGACTCTCAGGGTAGAGTGGGATTTCCTCTCCATTTTGGCCTCATTTTGAGAGCTTTTTTTGAGCTTGGGAGATGATTTCAGAGAAAACCAGTGGCACCATCGTGTTTCTCGCGAACTTTTACACACTGATCAATGGTCAAATCGCAAATCCCTCATACATGCAACATCTCCATTGTTCTCTCTTTTTTTTATTATATCTTCCCCCTTCATTTTATTCTTTTGAATCTGTTCCTTCCACTGAAGCCTCAATCAATGAACAATAATAGTTAAGTACTTTAATGTCAATATTTATTCTCCCAATAACTATTGTTTGCAGAGTTCACTCAAATGTCAAGTGAGCAATGTGCTGCATTCTATCATGCAGGTGCTCAGCAATATGCACTCCAACAGTTGGAAAAGAATGGGCCTGCTTTTCTATTGAGACCATCACACATCTATGACCTCTGTGTAAACGTTTCCTTGAAACCATTTCTTTATGAAACGATCCCAGACTATGAACTCACAAGTGTAAGTAGTACTCTCCTTGTTTTATTGAAAGAAAATTAGAAATGTTGGTTGTATGTATTGAATTGTAAAATGTTAATCATTCCTTGCGGAAGCTAAATCATTTCAGAGTTTTTTTTTTATGAACAACTTTTACCAAACTTTTTTAGTGACTTGACAAGCACCCAAAAATTGGGCATTCAATTTCCAGAGAATCTTTTAATTGTAGATTAAGAGGGTGCAAATATTATCTCACTGGAGGATGTTTTTGTGTCTCTGAACGGCCTGTAGCAGAATCAAGAAACCCGATTCCCATGGACTTTTTGGTGATTCATAGCTGTTTTCTTGAGCAACTTGACAAGCGTACAAATATTGGGCCGTACATTTTTAGAGACTCTTTATTGTAGATTCAGTGGGTACAAAAATTAGTTTTGATGAGGTTGTGTTTTGCACCATCTCACAGGCAACAGAAAGGTCAATCAACACACTATTTTTATTGAACTAGCAAACTGTGAAGTATGTAGCACTCTGCACAGACTGAGTGACAGGAACAATCTCTAGGAAATTCCAGCAAAGTTTAACTAGATTTACCGAAGGGCTCCTTTCTCCCTGTTTTCTTCAGAATTAATAAGGGGAGTTCTAATTTTACATGTCAAGGTTTTAGGGTAAATTTTGTGATGATTTTGTAAAAATCCTGAAGACTAAAGTACCTATGTATAAATCAAAGATAAAAGAATAAAATCTGATCATGTGTGGAATTTAGACTCCTAAAGAGTGGTTACAGAGATTTTTTCCTGATGAATCATTATTGTCAGAACTGAAGTTGGTGCAGGCTTTGCAGATGGAAGACAATTTGACAAGTGGATTCTAAATTTTTAAAGGAGGAGTGTCGTTTTGGGCCTTTTCCGGCCCCACCTGGATTTTGCTGAATGTTTCATATTTTCAAAGCACTACCCCTAGGTAGACTTTATGCCGGGCGCGCGAAATTGCGCCTCCGGAAAATGCGCCGATTGGAAAATGCGCCTAACTCGTCACCAGTCATCACACAAGGTCCACAAAATAGCGCCTCCCGGTAAATGTGCCTAATGCGACGTTGACACACTGTTCGTCTGTCTGAATTTCTGATTGGTTCTAGCTTAACCTGAAAATCCGGATTTTGAAGAGTGACGAATCCAGAGGCTGAATCCGGAATTTAATGTTCACGCAACCAGCTGCGCTGCTGAATGATTGTGGTGATATTGCAGTTCACTAACATAGCAGTATGAATTATTATTTATTATTACTGAAGTTTAAGCTTGAAGACAGATGAACTCTATGTGTGCAGCTCGGATGGAGCCCTTAGTTCAACTCCAATATCAGAAAACATTTCTTACTTTCATTGGGTTTTTCACAATGCCTCGTAGTTAGTCGAAACTAGTTTTATACATGTTTCGTAAAAATTCAATTTAGTTTATTTAAATCATGCAGGTAGAAACATTACACAATATTCTTGTAGTAAGTAAGGTCTTAAATAAAATTTGTTGGAAAAAAAAAAAAAAAAAAAATCCGTAACACCGCGAAAATGTATTATAGGCACCTGGAGGTTTTCCTATTTTGGACTTCTGGTCATTAAAATTGTTTTTACCTACTGGTTTTTTCGCACCTCCACCTCCACCCTGTAGGGTCGAGACTATAAGGTACTGATATTGGTAATGGTAGGGATTTGTTTGTGAAAACAGAAAACCAAGGCGTTATGAAATGTGTTTATTAACTCAGAGCATGAAGCTTTTCGACAATTACAGTCATTATCAAGGCGATTAAAAGTATCAGGGTATCAGTATGATCAGGGTCCAGGAAAATTTATAAAAATATATTGCATGCACCACAAATATACGTCGGATTTGCTCATTTTCTCGGAAAAAAGTTGCTTTCCTGGAACTGAGAGGTGAACGGGAAAAATTAAGGTCATTTCCGGACTCATCAGTTAAAAAGACATCGGCATAATTGAATCTCGTATCTACGAAAAATTTTACCTACATTCTGCAGGGGATAACAGTCGGAGAAACACCGAAAATGCCCAAAAATGGTCATTTTTCCGAGTAAAATCGGCTTTTCCGGCAATTTGGAGGGTATTAGAAAAAAACGGAGATCATGTTCGGATTTAGCGCCTCAAAATACGTAGGGATGTCCTTATTCAGCCCGAAAGGCATACTGAAAATGCGCGTTTTTCATGTTTTAGAACCGTCCACGCCCAAATCATGAGAAAACTGCTAATGTCTAGTTTAATGCTGGGAGTTTTGTGATGAAACTTATTTTAAGTACCGGAATTTTATTTTTTTAACTTTATGTGAATGATTTTCCATTTTCGCCGTCATCTTGTTTTTGGGGCCTTGGTATCAAAATCGGAGAGTCCACCAAAGATTTTCTCGTTCTCGGGACCAAAAGAGAGTAAACTTGCATCACAAACGTGCAAACGGGACGTAATGTTCGAACACATACCCCCCTGCCTGACAAAGCAATAAATCGCCTTTTCCCGTCATTTTTGAGCAATTCCGGCCGGTTTCCGTTTCGATCCATGACCTATAGATGCACATTAGTAAGTGTTTAGTGCTCAAAAGCATATACCTGAAGGTTGAAATAGAGAGAGAAAATTGGAAGATGCAGTTAAAATTCATGGAATGCATCGATTACGGTGTGAGAAATCGTCTTTTTGCGTCAATTTCGAGGATTTTTGGTTGGTTTCCGGTTTCTATCAGGCCGTTAATCGATCGGTGAATGTATGAAAAGCGTTGATAGTCTGATTTTATACATCTTAGAGGGGAAACTGGGGGAAAATATCGATAATTGAAGTGTTCAATATCGAAATATTTGGATTATTATGTAAAAATCGTCTTTTTTTAACAATTTTTGACTTTTTTTGGCCTATTTGAAATTTTTAGGTCCTTAACCATTCGATAGCAATTGAAAAAAGTATATCGACCAAAAGTTTATAACTGAAGCTTGAAGTATAAGAAAAAAAAATCGAAAATCGGAGAGACTGTTTTTTAGATACTTCAGTTTGAACATTGAATGGCGCAAAAATAGTAAATTTTAAAAAACCCTAAATTACGGCCATTTAAATAATTTTTAGCTCAATTTTGATGGCATATTCCGAATCTACATGAAAAATTGGTTTAAAACACTCCTTCAAAGTATGATGGATTGATACAGAGTCTCGCTATGGAGAGTCAAAGAGAAGGAAGTCGAGAAAACCCAAAACTAGAAAGGGAAAACCGACCAAACTGATGAAAATGCAAAATAATTAACCCAGGCCCCCAGGACAACATGGAAAAGAACGCCGAAACAACAGAATTAGCTGAAACAAACGCCACAGGCCCAAAGCCCATCACGAACGAGCCATAGAACACAAACACTCAGACTACGCAAGCAACAGAACGAGTGAAGTGGACCACAGAAGAATACAAAGAAGTAATATGGTGCTACTGGTACGTCAATGAGAGAGCACGGAAAGCTGTTATATATAGAGTGTTCCAAAAGTTCCGCTCCCCCCCTCTAACTTTTGAACAGTTAGAGATAGAAAAACGAAACTTTGGGATTGTTTCTATCTCAAAGAGGACCACCTTTGGGGGGGGGGAGGGGGCAACACTTTTTTTTCAGATGGTAACCCTTATCTTATTATACATCATTGAAAATTACATGAAAAACTACGAATTTTGGCGGAAGCCGCAGATCAATATCTTAATTTTTGACCTAGTTATGAAAGGTCAAAGGTCAAATTTGACCTATTTTTAAAACATCATAACTCTGGGTCACATCATTGTAAAGAAAAAAATTAAACGGGAAAAGTTACCAAATTGTGTTCGTTCTTTAGTGAAAATCTTCAAAGGGGGGTTCGGACCCCCAAATATGTCAATTCAGAGGTCATTCGATTTTCCTGCGAAACAGGCCAATTTGCCCTAACTTTGCCTCCACATTATCTCAGTAAGGTCAAAATCAGTTCAACATTACGTTTGCAATTCCCCAAATTTCGGGAAAAGTTTAAAAAAAAAAAGAAAATTTAAGGTGATTAAATTTGACCGTTTAAATTTCGTTTTTTTACTTTTTCCGAAATTTGAGGTCTTGCAAACGAAATGTTGATCTGATTTTGACTTTACTTTTGAACGAATTGAGCTAGGGTAATGAAACTTTGGGAATGTTCCTATCTCACAGGGGACCATCTTTTAGGGGGGGGGGGTCAAAATTTTGGTCCCCCCTCAGGGGGGGGGCGGGGGCCCCCAACTTTTTTTTTCAAATGGCAACCCCTATCTGTATATATTTAAACGGTCAAATTTAATCACCGTAAATTTCGTTTTTTTTTAACTTTTCCCGAAATTTGGGGACTTGCCAATGTAATAGTGAACTGATTTTGACCTTACTGAGATAATGTGGAGGCAAATCTAGGGTAAATTGGCTTATTTCGCGGGAAAATTAAATGACCTTTGAATTGACGTATTTGGGGGTCCCAGCCCCCCTTAAAATTAAATCGAAGTGATTTCTGCAATTTTTACTTAACAGCGGACACAATTTGGTAAATTTTCCCGTTTTATTTTTTTCTTTACGATAATTTGAACCGGAGTTATGATTTTTTGAAAATAGGTCAAATTTGACCTTTGACCTATCATAACTCGGTCAAAAATTAAGATATTGATCTGCGGCTTGCGCCAAAATTCTTAGTTTTTTATGCTCTTTCAAATGAGGTATCACAAGATAGGGGTTGCCATTTGAAAAAAAAAAGTTGGGGGCCCCCCGCTAGGGTGTCCTTTATTTTTGAAATTTGAGAAAAGTTAAGCTCCCCAGGTCTCAAAACGTGCTATGAGGTGTACAACTAAGGAATGTTTTTTGGAAAAAATTTTAAAAAAATTTTTAGGACTCTCTCAAGCGCCCTAAAGGGCGTCAGTCGAAAATGTTCATTTCTGGTAGAGTGGATAATCAATCCTAGGTGAAATTGACGAATTAACGCCTATAAGGCAAAAATTTGGTCCGTTTGGTCGTATCTTTGATCGATC